GTTTTATTGCAAGAGATTTCTTTTGTCATCCCAAGAGATTTCTTTTGTCATCCTTAAGTTGCTGAAATTTGGATTATTGTTTCACCATTTCACATCTGTGTTTTAATTTACACCTTCCGCATTTGCGCATCTGAACCCAACAGCTACCTTGTGCACTTTTCGACAGACTAATTTTATGGCTGGCCAAAAATATGTTCACTTTGTCCATTTTGTGGGCATCCCCAATAGTATATATTATCCATTTGGAGATGTATAACATGATAATGCCAATTCTAGTATAATTTGACATCTGTAAGATTATAATTGATTGAACATAAGAGATATATATTTTTTAAAAAAAAAATAACACACATCGAGAAATAAGTTTCCTGTATGTATAATATCCTTCGTCTCTCATCTTTCATAATCAAATCATTTTGATCACGCAGAGTTCAAAGAACGACAAGTCTTCTCCTCGTGAAGGAGAAGATATTAAACAGGGAAGTTTGGTTTAACATCGATCTTTTTATATCCTAAAAGCTAATGTTTTCTTGGAAGTAGAAATCACCAATTTCAGACTAGGCGATGCCGACACAGATAGTGTAACTGAATGTAAATATATTTGACCTTTGATGTCTAGTAATGATATCTGGCTCTGTCTTTGTTTTCATCTATATAAAACATATGCAAATGTGAATCGACCCAAAAACATGCCTTGTTTCATAAATTGAGATAAAGAGTCGAAATATGTAACAAAAATGTGGTAGAAGATTCATAATTTACATAAACATGTTTCAGAAATCAGTTGAACGCATTAGGAAAGAGACAGTTTGGCGAGTGTTAGCGCCAAAACTTTGACCCCATTTGCAATATCCTGTGGGGCTGCAAATTCTTCAGGCTTGTGGCTATACCCTGCCAACAAATATGAATATATTACTCAGTTTTTTATTATATTTTCACCCGAGCATATATGGCGCACGTTTCCTTCCATATGCATCCTATTCATGCATCGTTTTCACAATTAGAGCTACTTAATGTGCATTTGTAATTTTCATGCTGACTTAGAATTCGACTTTGTAATAGACACGACTTTGTAATAGATAATTGAACAACGGATACTTATGAACGTACCCCTGAAATTGGGCTATAATTTTCTAGACATTTGTTTCTCCTATAATATTTGCATGCGTCAAGGGTGCGAGGTAATTTTGTTAAACATACCAAAACATAAAGGGATGTTTGTAATCTCAATAAACAATTGGAGTTTTTCAAGTTAAATTTTGGGATATTTTTCTTATAAGGATCGAACTCGAGAGAAACTGTACCTTTATAACATGGAATGAAAATCATGCCCATGGGAGATATTCTGCACAGATCAATGAAATGTGAGCATATCAATGTATGTAAACAAATTGTCAGCATAAAATATTCCGAATACATTTTTTCAGTTTGAGCATGGAAATCAAAAGCAGGAATCCTCGAATTCTTTTGTAGAACTTTTTCATTAAAATTTAACCTGGCCATGAAGAGGGAATCATGATAGGCTCTACTAATCATCTTCTTGTAAGACAATTTTAGTTCTTGACAAGCAGATTCTGTTGCCTTGGTGATCAGATCCTCGGACAATGCAGGTGGATCTTGATTCACGATCTTAAATTCCGAGAGCTTTACATTGCGAGATTTAGATATGCTGAGGGCAGATTGATGGGTTTTCTCAATCACAAGATTCCTCCTCTTTTCATCAATGTCACGAGTATCTACAAATTCACAGAAAGAATTTTCTGATATGGCTTTTTTTTTGTTCAGTACACAATAACACTGATCGACCAAAAAAGAAACGAATTCAGACACAACTAATTGATAAGACTAATAACTAAAATTAAAATCATTACCAATCTCAAGATGTGATTTGCTAGGTATGCTGTTTATTGCTCCAGGATGCAGCTCCAGAATACCTGAAACATTGCAGCATTACATGATATCGTTAGACCTCAAGTTAAGTCTACGTACCCAAAAAGAAACCACTTTCAGAAAAAAGAAATAAAAAAATAAAAATAAAATAAAATAAATAAATAAAAAATAAATAAAATAAAATAAAACAAAAATTCCCTTTATAAGTATGTTAACCCTATTTCTCATTTAAAGTTCGAATATCCCCTTATTGTTGTGTCTACTTACCAACTGTCCCAACGGTGTCTGTGGAGCCAGATTCCAACACATGTTTCTCAACAGCAAGTGCTAATTCCGCAGCAGCCAGTCCTGCATCGTTTCTGTTCCAAAATGACACATGCATCACAGATAAATCGTATCACTTATACAACAAATAACAAGGACTTCAAATTCCTTTAGCCACTTCAACTATTAATAGAATATGTTTCAAGTAACAGTATGAAATATTTAGAAATGGGCCATATAATGTAAAAAGTAGTTTAAATTGAGGGTGATAGTAATAATATTATAATAATAATGAAATAGTTAATTGCAACGAACCCCCAAAATAATTATTATAGTAACTGTTGGGCATTTTTTGAGTTAGTAGTTGTATCTTCGTGACTGAACCTGCACTGGTCTCAGGCCCCTATGTTACGCTGAGGTTTTACATCTACTGACATTAATATTAAGATATAAAATGATGCGTATAGTGAGTTATTTATGGCCTACATGGTTGTACTGTTTTATCTTGTATATAATCACTATGACCTATGAATGGTTTTCAGACAAAAAGTGGGTCTAAAATATCTTTCCTTTAGGAAAAGGGTTCTTACATTTTGAGGCTGATTTTTGAAGATTCAATCGGCTTTAAGTATTTCCTAGAGCTGTGGATCATTTCATCCAATATTTTGGCAATCTTGTTTCAAAAACAAAAGTTTCACTCTTCATCCCAAAACTGAAAACAACTGACGTGACAATAACTCGGCTATCCAAGTAGAGTTTGAGCTGGAGGGAGTCCAGGTAAGCTTAGTAAACTAGTGGATTTCATGATTGATCGTACAGTCAGTTGAATGAACTGTGGCTGGATAATGAAGAGAGTCTTTACATTTCGTAAAGCCGCTGAATGTATTTGTAATAATTCATTTGGCTAGTGAATTGATCTCTTTCACTAGGGGTAGCCTCGTCCATCTAGAGTATTTATACTCAGAGCACGGAAAACTAATTGTGTTATTCTCACTTTCACCTCTATTATTTTTAAGCTATATCACCTTCTTTAGAACTTAGCATAAAATTTAGCGAAATAAAATAAAACCCCTCAATTATACGTTTTTTTGCGCTTTGGCCATTATACTGTTGGCCCTGAACTTTGCCATCTTTTATTGTTCATTTTGTCCTCCAGAGCCATTGTGCATTCCATCATGTGAGGATTTAACTTGGCCCAGATGACAAGTAAAATGAAATGCATATTGAGAAAGGAAATCGAAACCCAAAAACGACACATATTGGGAAAATAGAGAGAAACCCAGTAGTATATGCAGCTTTAGTTTAACAATAGAAACAACTGGAGAATACCAACCTTTTGGGCATTAGAACAGCTCCAGCATGGCCTCCATTGCCTTCAAAGTCCACTTTGATGCTAGCTGGGGCAGCAATGGCAGTGACAACACCAATTGATGTTCCTTACCGAATAACATGAAACAGATCAACAACCCGTGAATACAAAGATAACATCCCCAAAAACGTTTTTTTAATTATGTAAGCCACCTAACCTTCCTCTTCCAGAATGGGGCCTTGCTCTATGTGCAACTCAACAAAAGCCGAATAGCTCCCTTTTTCTAGAAACACGCTTGACAAGTCCTTGTTGTTTGTGTACCCAGCAAGTTTAGCAGCATCAGAAAAAGATACATTTTGACCGTCTACTGTCTTCTTAAGAAGACCTGCAAGTTCCTCGCTGCCGGCCAACAATCGGCTGCAAAAAGTGTGAAAAAAATATTCAAGATAAATTCAAGAACCTGAAAGTAACATAAAGGACAACCGAGAGAAGGAAACACATGAAAGAAAGGGTAACAAAAGGATTACAAAATCAACCCCTGAAGTTTAGTGTACTTCCAAAAGAAACATATAAAAGTTGAACAATTAACGCAAATAAAGAACCTTTTCAATTTGTTTTTGTCATATATTCTTAATTAAGTATACAAATTTTTACAGCTACAACCTCTGGCCGCACCCCCACCAGCAAACACACACAATTATTAGACAGAATCAGCACCTCAAGATTCTTTTGTTCTTTTTTATTCAATCTTGGTTTTTTTGCCCCAGGGGTAGTTTTTGTAATTATCCCAAACGAAGATAGAAAAGGATATAGAAAATGAATGTGGAGTTAAAATTTAGAAAACAATATCTATTAAGGTCAGCAGTATTTTTATAGGGGAAAAATATGATGTCCTAACCTTCCTAAGCAGCTAATCCCGAATCGTGTTGGCTCTTCCGATGTAAACATGATGACCTCCATTGATCTCTTAGGCTTAAAGCCTGACCTGTTAAGCTTTAATTTAAATGAGGCCTGCATGTGTGTTAACAAAACTAGGCATATAATAAAACTATAGATAACAATTTACAAAAATCTCAAAGTAAGCAGATAGACCATGAACCCTTTTGACATTTTAAGCACAATTTAATACATTGCATGTGTGCTTACTGAGTTCTACAAATCATGTTAATTGATGAAGGAAAAAATGCCAAGTTCTACAAATCATGTTACTTGATGAAGAAAAAGATGCCATATGAAGAGTGAAATTTAATGTAGTGAAGCATAAAAATGTGTTTATTTTCCTCAACCTTTCATGCTATTCATACGGTCCGAATTACGTAAATAATCTGGAACAAGAAGAACACATTTTCTACAAATCAACCATTTGAGCCAGACATTCTTCATACCTCTTTAGTACATTAATGGCCTCAATGGCTCCCAAGACACCAACAACTCCATCATACTTCCCGGAGTATGGTATAGCATCGATATGAGAACCTGTTGAAACAGGAGCCAGATTTGGCTCGGACCCAACCCTGTTGACCGAAATCAAAGTTGCAGGATAATTCATGTTCTAAGTCTCATGTAAACAAAGGAAATTAAGGTCCTTAATACCAAGACGAAGAAAAAGCACATATATAACACCATAATGCAAGAAACAATCGGCTCCTTTTCTAAAGCAAGACAAAGGTTAGCAAGGAAAGGAGAGAGAGAGAGAGAGAGAGAGAGAGAGAGAGAGAGAGAGAGAGAGGAAACCAAAAAGTCCATTATAGTTTGATTTCATAAGACATAGCTGATACAAAGATCCTTCCATTGAAAGTTTTCAAATTTGAGTATAGTTGCTCGACCAAAAATTGTTTACGAAAGTTAAGGTCATATCGCAATTACTTCTTGTCTCACCATCGGCCAAAGATGTTCCCAACAGCATCCTCTCTGACAGCAAGACCAGAAAGGCCTATTAAATTTTTAATGTACCTGCATGTTGATGTACAGAATTTAGGAAAATGACTGCATTGAAAACCACCATGTTACTCAACCTACTCTCAATATCAACAGTGGCATATGAAGTCTTAAGTTGGCTCATTATATCATGCCTCCTTCAAGTTAATGAGTATGAAAAGTAAAACAAGGCATGTGAAATAATCGAAACCGATGCTTTACCTCCTTGCCAGCACATCCTTCTCACTGTAAAGGATCCTTGTAACTGAAGGTGCAGGTGTATCAGAGAAAGTTGATAGCTCATCAATCTAGAATATAATAACAAAAGAAATGTGTCATGGATATTAATTCCAACATAATAATAGTAAGTAATGTATAATCCATTCAAGAAAACACTTTCTGATTATTGCAAACTGTAAAAAATTATCCTAAAAATGACCATACTACGAGCAACAGCCAACTCAAAGAAGCATAATGAATAAGAGGCAAACAGCTTGGTATCAGGAGAAAAAAAAAGCTTCAAAC